TGTACTATAAGAATTATTAAATGTTAGAGAATGCTTTCGTGGTTCCTATTATAGACTCTTATTTTATAGATGAGGAAGTAGAGGTCAAAGAAGGAAAATTACTTTCCTAAAGATATGTAGCTAGTAACAGGCAGACCTCGGATTAAGACCTGAGCTCTTTATAGTTCATACCATATGCTTCTTGTGCATCACGAACTGTCCATACACTGCCCAGTCCCAGGAGACAAATTAAGCAATCCAGTGATGAAAACAAAATAATGGCCAAATACTGGTTGATTGTGATTATAGTTTCGGATCAACTTGCCAAATGCTTTTTTTAATTTTTGACTGTATGTGGAGATTAATCTATGTATGTATCTGTAACATAACTCTGGAGTTTTGCCATATGTGTATATGTATACATATTATATATAGTTGAGTTGTATATGTGTGTGTGTGTGTGTGTGTGTGTGTGAAATATGTGGGTGTGTATCTGAAGTCTGAAGATTGTAATAATACTTTGGGAATGCTTCTTGTTGCCCTTATGTCTCTGAACCTCTCCAACTGGAAAATAATTAATATCTGTTCCATGAAGTACATGGGAGTGTTAACACTCTTGACCTGGTGGGTTATCTAAATACTAAGAGCATTATAATTGTCCTGCAATAGATTTGCAAGTTGTGATTTTTAGAGATGCTGACACCCAAAGGGGAAAAAAAATCTTTCCCAGTGCTCAGAATAAGTCTCCTTAAGGGACTTTACCTGAAGGTACAGCACTTTAGTGAAATAGTCACAATAGTGAAATATTTGCAATAGTGAAAGCCTCCACCATTGGAAAACAAATATTGATTCTTTTTACTTTCTTGTCAAATTGTTCTTCTTCATTGCAGCAGGCATTGTAACAGTTTAGAATTAGAAATTTCAGCATTTTTCTTCTTTTTCTTATTAAGGTATTATTGATATACACTCTTATGAAGGTTTCACATGAAAAAATGTAGTACTACATTCACCCATATTATCATGTCCCCACATACCCCAGTTACTGCCCATCAGTGTAGTAAGATGCCACAGAGTCACTATTTGCCTTCTCTGTGCTACACTGTCTTCCCATGATCCCGCCACAGCATGTGTGCCAATCATAAAACCCCTCAATCCCCTTCTCCCTCCTTCCCCACCTGCCCTCCCCACCTTTGGTAACCACCAGTCCCTTCTTGGAGTCTGTTAGTCTGTTGCTGTTTTGTTGCTTCAGTTTTGCTTCGTGGTTATACTCCACAAATGAGGCAAATCATTTGCTACTTGTCCTTCCCCGCCTGGCTTAGTTCACTGAGCATAATACCCTCTAGCTCCATCCATGTTGTTGCAAATGGTAGGATTTGTTTCTGATGGACACTTAGGTTGCTTCCATATCTTGGCTATTGTAAATAGTGCTGCAATAAACATAGGGGTGCATATGTCTTTTTGAATCTGAGAACTTGTTTTCTTTGGGTAAATTCCTAGGAGTGGAATTCCTGGGTCAAATGGTATTTCTATCTTTAGTTTTTTGAGGAACCTCCATATTGTTTTCCACAATGGTTGAACTAGCTTACATTCCCACTAGCAGTGTAGGAGGGTTCTCCTTTCTCTGCATTCCCCCCAGCATTTGTTGTTAGTCTTTTCCATGCTGGCCATCCTCACTGGTGAGAGGTGATATTTCATTGTGGTTTTAATTTGCATTTCTCTGATGATTAGCGATTGGAGCATCTTTTCATGTGCCTGTTGGCCATCTGAATTTCTTCTTTGGACAATTGTCTGTTCATATCATCTACCCATTTTTTAATTGGGTTATTTGCTTTTTGGTTGTTGAGGCATGTGGGTTCTTTATATATTTTGGATGTTAACCCCTTGTTTGATATGTCATTTACAAATATATTCTCCCATACTGTAGGATGCCTTTTTGTTCTGTTGATGGTATCCTTTGCTGTACAGAAGCTTTTTAGTTTGATGTAGTCCCATATGTTAATTTTAGCTTTTGTTTCCCTTGCTTGAGGAGATGCGTTCAGGAAAAAGTTGCTCATGGAGAATTTTGCCTATGCTATCTTCTAAGAGTTTCACGGTTTCATGACTTACATTCAGGTCTGTGATCCATTTCAAGTTTACTTTTGTGTATGGGGTTAGACAATAATCCAGTTTCATTCTCTTGCATGTAGCTGTCCAGTTTTGCCAACACCAGTTGTTGAAGAGGCTGTCATATCCCCATTGTATGTCCATGGCTCCTTTATCATATATTAATTGACCATATACAGCATTTTTCTTCTTTAAGATGAATTATTTCCCCAAGCCCTTGACTTTGGAATTATACCAAACATTTCTGGACATATCATTAGTCATAGGGTAATAAAAAAAGTGACTCTCTTCAATTCTGGTATGTTGTCCTTATATATATAATCCTTCTTCCTATTTTAAATTACTGTCCATGTATACCTTAAAATTAAGTAAGAATTTTTAAAACTTTAAGACAATAAACAATTTTGCAGAACCACTTTGATCCAAGATCTTATATAATTGCCATTATTTTTCACTCCAAGCCAACCATATATTTGACCCAACTGACATGCTTTTACTCTCTTAATACAAATAATCAAAAAAGAAAAACATTTCCTTATAGGAAATCATTTAACTTTCACAATGCAATTCTGAATTCTATATAGTTCAATTTTTTTTATCCAATCCTCTTTTTTCTCAGCTCATTTTTTGTTGTTGTTTATTTGCTTTCCTGGTGCAAAAATATGCTATTTTCTTATTTTAGCTTACAAACATTAAGTCGTAATTTCTGATATTGCCAGATAGTAAAATGAAACAATTTTGGCTCTAGCCAGGTTTTGGGAAAACTCCAAAGTAATTTAGGTGGGACAGGAAGAGAGGTTAGTAATTCCAGCTGTTCAGCCCCTTCCTTTTAGAGTATTCCCTGAATTGTGTAGGAATATGTATGTTATTTTATTGCTGTGAACTAGTGATGCCAGTTTCCACCCTAGAGATGGCTGTATTTCAGAGATGAGTGACTTGATACTTGTAAACAAGTTCATAATCATTAATAAAGCTTACCAAACAATTTAAGCTCTTTAGAAACACACATCCACTATTATAATTAATTGCCTAGTATTTATTTAATTATACCCTTTAATAGAGGCATGAAGACTTTTACAATGCAATTTATAAAAATTCTAAACTTCATTAAATTTGTTTTCATGATGCTTATTTTGTTTTTGTGAGTTTCAGATGTCAAATTATTTCTCCCTGGGGAGCCGGGTTGTAATTCCACCACTATTTCGATGCACCCTTTAAAAATCCCTATCAATATTTTTCTTTAAAGTTGACAACTGCCCAGTCTGGGATCCAGATGCTGTATTCACAGGGCAATGATTTTGTTGTTTTCCACACATGGCCTTTTCCTACACTGTCTCTCAGAGATGGAAAATTCTGCCTCTTTTTTTTTTTTTTTAACATTTTACAGGAAACTTTCATTAAAATGACCTAAAGCCAGGTCCTTTCATTCTGTATGGTATCTAGCTCAGGAGTACTCAAACTTCGTCTGTAATTTGTTTCCCTGAAAATCTTGGTGGTAAATTAATCCAATGTTTCTTTTTGGAATGTCTACTTCAAACAGAACTCACACCAGCCACTGTGCTTAAACCACACTAAAAAACTGGAAGTTTCCAATAACTGAAAGGAAATCTACAGACACAGTGTCAGTGGGTCCCCAAAAGAATGTGCTAGAATCTGGGAGGTCTTTGAGGTTTGTGGTGTTATCCTTTAGAGACAGGGAAGTATCTTCCTTCTATAAGATTAAAATAATGCATGATATCTCCTCTCTCCCAAGGTTTTTCATCTCTTTGGCTGTGCTTCTGATACAAATATATTGGGCCCTGACATACCTCAGTTCAAAAAATACTTAATGAGAAGACCTTTGTTTTAGTTTTAAGTGCTGCAGGTAGCATTCCTATAAACATGGGACACTAAGAAAAACACAGAGACATAATACCCTCCTCAAATGGAATAGGTTTAAACCTTGCCTGAAAATAATAAACACAATGCCTTACACTTTTTGGCTGTTTTAAGTTGGAAAGCATATGCACATCTATCATGTTGTTTTACTCTCAAAATCAGTCTCTCAAAAATGGACACAAGGCATTAAGTCATTCAATATGTTGTGCCTACTGCGTGCTAGGCAGTGTGAAGGGATGGAGGATCCATGATACACAGGCAGACCAAAGAACAGAGAATTTCCTTGGGAAGATAAAACAAAACAGAAATAAATTCAATAAAGGTAGTATGTAAATATCTCTTGTAACTGAGAACTAGAGGGGCAAAGGGAGACTTAGAATTATGTGCTATACTGTGCATTACCTCATAACCATTCCTCCTAACTCTTTAAATAGCTATTTATAGGCTCCTGAAATCTAAGTTGTTCGCCTCAGGAAGTTGAATGCCCATCACCAGCTATGTACTGATTTTCCGACAGAGCCAGGACATCAAGCAAAGCTCCTGACTCATCAGCATTACGCATACTTTTCCCACTAGGTCAGGCTGGGTCGGAAAACGGGCAGTATTAACGAAAGTATCCCTGATTTCTCCTCTCAACAGTTCTTCCATTCGCACAGCGCTGGTGTCTCTCAGGCGCAGGTCAGGCAATGTCTGTTGCCTTTGATGAAAGAGGCTCTTTGCTTTTCTTAGCAGACACAATATAGGCAGAATTGTTTCTGGGTTTGACTTTCAAGTTGTGTAGCCTACCAGACTGTGAGTGCCCAGGCAGTTCTTTTGGCCTTGAGGTCCACAGAGTTGCAATGGCGTTTCAGGAGTCTTCTTACCTATGAGGAAATGCCATAGGAATCATGCAAGAGAAATGATTTGCCCAAGGTCACACAGACCAATGGTGGCAGATTTGGGATTGGAAGCAGGTCTTCCGATTCCAGTCCAGTGCCTCCCACGGCCTTTATCAATTCCTGTTTGAAATCTTTGCTTCCCTCACCCTTAGTGTGGGGGGATGGGGGTCATTCTGAAAGACCCCCTGAGAGATCCCTCACACCCACACTCGCAGTAACGCCATTTCGTCCCCCAGCTAGCAAGGACAAGATATTCTCAACACCAGGCCAGGCCCTACCCCGGGAAGAGGGCCAAACAAGATATCGGCGGTTAAGCACCTGGACCCGTTTCCAGGAACAGAAACCAGCTACATCCTGGATAAACAGACCCTTACCGCCCTCCCGAGTTCTCGGAAAGTCCCCTCTGAGCTCAAACCCTGTATTGTTTAAACCATCCAATGAAACCCCTGTAACCATGCTTCTCGCTTCTGTACCCGCGCTTTTAGCTACCCTATAAAAACTCCCTGCTTCCTAGCTGGGGGGAGTCTTCCTCGAGACTCCGCCGTCCCAGGTACCTGTGTGACTGAATAAAAATCCCTCTTGCTGATTGCAACCGGAACGTGAGCTCGCTGATCCTTGGGAGGGTCTCCTCAGATAAAGACACCACACTAAGTGAGGTCTTTCAATTCCAGTCAAATAACAGCTTTCTCTCCTTTGCAAAAGAAAGAGTGGGTAAGGGCTTTGGGAGAAGTATGTTTTCGGTCAGTGAAGGGGACTGATTAATTCCACCACCATTTAGTGAACTTCCTGCCCGCTCTGTGCCAGGCTCCGGGCATCCAGGCTCCAGCAAAGCCAGCTTCCAGTGATTGAACTTGGGTCTCTCCCTAGGTCCGGCAGGTCCGGGGCTTTGACTGCCACCTCTCAAGGACTGTCCCCCAATCCGCACCAGGCTCTTCTGCCGGCCGGAGCAGGCCCACACGTCCCTGGTGGACAGCGCTGTGCCTGGTTGCAGCAGCGGGCGCTAAATCACGCGAGCAGCACGCTTGCATTGGGCGGGGAGCTCGCGTCGCGCGCCCGCGGTCGTCACGGCAACCGGGGAGGTGCTGACCCCTGACCCCCAGGCCCCGCCCCCTCGCGTTCCCGAGATCCACATGGAGAAAGCCA